CAGAGTATACTGTTTGGCCCATGATACCCCCCATGCGTTGCCATTCCTGAGAACTCAGGTGTTATTCCTCTGTACCCAGTAAATTCACGCCATATCCCACCCTTCAAACCGAAACACAGCCATTATTGAAATACAGAATTAAGCAATCGACTTTTGTACAAAGTCTCCCTCTGCTATATTTATACATTGGGTAGGTATTATTGAAATTATTTTGTACTTTTGCAGTCGTTTACCGCTTCACCGCCATAAGATCTCCGTTCGCTTACAAATTCAGTTAATAGCACAGAATTGAATTTTGCCTCAGTTCAATTCTACTTCAACATGTGCTCCATTTTCTGCTCAATTTGTGAGATAAATAGGTAATATTGATACCGGGAGCGTTCCAACATCCGAAGGCGTTGTTAAATTGCTATAAAATTTTTAAATCACTGCTATGTAATACTAGTTGAAACCCGCGGGTTTGTTCGCGCGAATCATCAAAGTACCTTTAATCTAAATTAAGATATAATCTATCCATCTATCAAAATGGTACTGCTCATGTCTATAGACGACGGTTACCACTTTCCATCAGGTGAACCGTCAGCTTGTTTGCCATTCTAAGTTGTATAAAAAAAATTCATTCAAATTTGTGCATATTCATTAAAAAAGAATAAAATCCATCTATTCTCAAATTATTTTCTATTTTTTTTTTTTTTTTTACATTTATAAATATTCATTAATATTTTAATTTATTTTATCAAATTATTTTTATTTATTTTTTTCACAAAAAAAAAAATTTATTTATTTGATCAACTGGGCAAGCTTTACAATCTCCCAATACGCTCATTCAAGAAAGTATCATTACAATAATAAATATTATGTAACTAAATAACAATAATAGAAATAATATATTATTTTTTAATTATGTGAACACAACCACTCAATGGCCATGTGACGAAACTCCAGCAAGTTGGAGACAAATACGTACATTTAATTGTGGATACTGACTTAAAATATCATTAAGTAGCTACTATTTTATATTTTAAATACACAATTAGGACTTAACGCAATGAAAAACATTTGCAAGTAAATACTATCTAGATACTTGCTTTTTTATTGAAAACGTTTCGACGTGGATTGAATCCATGTTATAGTCGTTTGGGCAAAACCATTTATTTTGATTTAAATAAACTACTGGGCCGATTTTGAGAATATTTCTATGGGACCAATATGTAAATAAGTATATCCTTTCAGTTAAAAAAAATCCAAACTAGTTTACAAGTTTATTTACTTTACGAGATGAAAAATAAAAAATCAACCGTGTTCAAAACCTCCTTTGAAGCCAGTTGAAAAAATAACATAAGTGAACAAAATATATTTAAAAAAAATCCCATACTAATATGCATACGCATTTAAATGGAATTGCTTCGAAGTAGCATAGGATATTCATTAAGGGTAATGTTCGCTTATTTTTATCCAATTCGTATTAAGCTGTTATTAAAATTGATGTTTTTAAAAATAAACTCTTATATTATCTACACAAACATTTTGTTCGCTGTACTGAAACGAATAAGTACGATTTGCTCAATACATTTTTAAGTCGGTCTTTGTTCAGTACTAAAGGTCGAGACAGCAACCCCCGAGGCCCCGGATCACAGAAATAAAGTTACAGTGGAAAAATAATAAGAGGATTGCGAAATGCGTGGGTTTAACGAAAATATTAGCTGTCTTGAACAAAAAATATTTACCCCATCAAACTTCAAGACGTATATTGACCGAGAACAAATAGAAATTCGAGTGGCACATACAGTGGGATCGATTCTAAGTCGCCATTTTTCTAAACCAATCTCTAAAATTAAAATTTTAATAATCATTTATTCTAAGGACCAATATGAACTAAATTTCTAATAAAGTAAAAATTATTATAAACTTATTTCAGTTTATGATTATTCATTAACTACTTTTATTCTTCGGTTGTTTGGTTCTTCAAAATTTAATAAATTTCTTAAACCAGGTGGGACAATTTAATTCATCAGCTGGCTATATTATGCAATGTTGTTGCTGGGCGGTGACGTTATGAGTGTGTGTGAGTACACACACAACAATATGATATGATGCGATTACATATTCACACCCATATACACATACATACATATACAGATATATATACATGCACACAATTCTGTACTCATCAATACATTTTATTCGTACACTTACACACTTTACTTTTTCTTTTTTTTTTAAAACACCTCGCTCTGAAGACTGTCGGTGCAAACCAATTGTAATACTCGCTTGTAATATGTTCGTGGATAACTGTTATTGGCCTATGTTCTTTTTATGTTCATGTAATCTATATATGTATGTATGCCATGTAATAATATACACAGATACAGATCATTTATTCATTATTTACAAAATTATAAGTCCAGTTTCAATTAATTATGACATTCCCATTGCAAGTTTGTCATATTTTATTGTAATTTCGAGAACATAGCAATGGTAGCGGAATTAACCAAAATCATTATAATCAAATAACTAGTGATATGGACTTCCGCAAGATGACACCTAGTTTAGTAAAATGTAACATGTTTATATTTTACTAAACTATACTAACTACTACATACTAAATAACTATATATGGCCATGTGGTCCCGACACAGATAGGCCATCCCTTCCTTTCCCGTGGGTGTCGTAAAAGTCGACTAAGGGAAGGCGAGGGATGGGCAGCAGCGTTCCTCTTAAAACATATCTAAAGCATAACTGCGGCTGCCAAACGTGGCAACTACTGGCACCCCCCCCCCCCCCCCAAGGGGGAAGCTTATGTTCAGCAATGGACATTTAAAGGCTGATATGATGATAAGGTTGAACATGTTTTTATTATTAGGTTTATTAAATATTGTCATTAAGGATACTTTAACGTAAAAAGTGGGCCAATTGAACCATAGGGAATATTTATATTATTTTATCTATGACTGAACACCACAAATAAAATTATTTGAACAGCCAACCCTTTTCTCTTCAAGTACTGACGTCGAAGTTACGATTGCTTTTAGGGTGAGTCAACATCATAAATAGGTATCTATTGGCTATAAGGTGTTGATTCATACTTAACAGAGTTTCATCATAAAAATGTAACTCTACGATCAAAAATATACCCATAAATGTAGGTACTAAGGTTCATTATGCAAACATCGAATATTTGAAGAATATGTTTATCCATTCAATAATTTTAAAACCAAACACTCGGGGAATCACAAAGTTTTAAATTATTTTTAAGTGTTATCTGTTTGAATAGAATTTAATTTAGAATTTAAAGAAATGAATAATTAATCCGACCATAGCATAGTTTTGCCATGTGGTCCCGGCATAGAGTAAGCGACCCCTTCCTTTCGCATGGATGTCATATGAGGCAAGTAAGGGAAGATAATGATATGAATAATGATCGAGGGATGGGCAGCAGCGTCGCTCTTAAAACATTACCAAAGGCTAACTACGATTGCCAACTTGCCGACCAAACATGGCAATTGCTGGCCAGACCTCCTTTATGAGGAGGCCTATATTTAGCAGTGGACAATTATCCGCTGATATGCTGACGACAAGCTGATATCCAAAAGTAACAAATAAAAAATCGTTTATTGACTGAGTGCTTTGATTTGTTAACAACGAAATGTAAGCAGATTATAATAAGTGTCAAAGTTTGTTGAGTGGCAACCCCGTAAAGGCAAATGCAGTGTACTGCGACAGCCCCCCTCCCCCCACTATGTAAAACGACGACCTCAAATGCATTACATGAAATCAGTGGATGCAGGTGGCTCAGGGCCGTTCCTTATGACAGTCTATGGGGTAGGCCAATGTTCAGCAGTGGACAGTTAACGGCTTATACGATGATGTAGAGATAGTATTTGTTAGATATTTACCAGAAGGAGACTTTACAAAAGTCGTTTACTTGGGCACCTCTGTCCCATTCGTGTTTCTACCGTGAAGCAGTGGTGTTTGCATGGTTGTGTTTCGGTTTGAATGGTGGGATATGGCAGTGAATTTACAGGGTACAGAGAAATAACACCTAAGTCCTCAGGAATGGCAACGCATGGAGGGGGGGGGGGGTATCATGGGCGAAACAATATACTCTGTTATGTCCATGGTACTGCTCATGTCTATAGGCGATGGTTTCCACTTTCCATCAGGTGGGCCGTCAGCGACTGTGCCATTCTAAGCAACATAAAAAAATTCATTTAAACTTATTATATTATCTTTTAATTAGATTATGTCTCACGACCTTTTTGCAAAGTGAATATATTTTTCTAGCAAACGCTTAGTTCTATTTATTTTTTTATTTATTTGTATATATATGTGTACTTGGCGGAGATAATGCTAAAAGCATTCTCTCCCAGTCAACCTTAGGGAAATGACAGAATACTCGAATTTAGTAGTAGTTCTAGCACAGTATTCTATTATGACCTTTCATTTGTACTAACTCTTAAACCTATCAAAATATTTTAATAACACATATTTTTTCCCCTTAAAAATAAAATTAAAATTGATTCGAAAAAAGATTTTTTTTTTTGGAATTTACACACTAAATTTATTTAATGTTTTATAAAGATTACTTACTTGAAAATTATTTGGATATTTTCAGATGTTCTAGCTTTATAATACCTACAAGTGTCTTATCCGCCCCAAGCAAGGATTTCTTCCGGTGCATTGTCTTTACTCTTTGGCTCGGATATACAAAATATTACGTAAAAGGGACTTGTTGCGTAATGTTATTGAAGTTGCTGTAGAATATATTTGATAAAACGATAATCGTTACGAACGCTTGCGTCTACAAATCAAATTAATAGATTTATAATTGTGCACTAAATACATTTGTATTCATCCCATTTCTAATTACTATTAAGTATCGATGAAAATATCAACAGTAAAATAATACTTTAAGAACATTTAACTTTACAACTTGTTTATCAACGTAATTACTTGTATTAACAAAGTTTATACCAACACCAATATTTACAAGTACTTACGCTCATTTCTCGACGGCTCCCTCACATCCACACATTAATTATAACCACAAACTATCATAAATCAACAACTATTGCCTGCAATTGTACGTACCACATCACTGTGTACGAGATATGAGTGACGAAAATCCGTAATCCAAAACGAATGCCGCCCGAAACTCGACACACGCTCGTACACTCGTCACTTAACGATAATAACACAATATCCACTATAAGCTACCTCTAAATTAACATATTATACAGCTTAAAACGTCAGAGAAACATTTAAGACTCAATAACATGATCTGTACAGGTCAAAAACTCACAATTTTGAGGTTATCTCGCAGATCGGTAAATGTAGGACACATTGAGAAACGCAGCGTAGCTTTAGGGTTGAATATCCCGCATATTTTTCATATCTGTGTGCAATGTTCAACCGTGTAGGGACTTGTCCCTGGTGTAACCCAGATAGGGTGTGACTATGTGCGTGTAATGAATGATTTGTATGTGGGGGTGTTACTGAAATACATGAGATTAAAATTTCTATTATTAATCTCGAGATATGTAAGTAAAATAAAGATTGTTTTATGTGTTAAATTAGAATATATATGCAAAATTTAATTGAAATCATTTCTGACATTTAAATGAATTAGAGTAACGAACATTTAAATTAACGATGATAAAAATTAAATTGACATAATTCCTAAAATATAACCAATTTAATTATTTGACACTAACAACGTTAAAGAATGTTTTTGTAAACTTCACGGTTACTGAACAAAGACCTCAATATTCCATATAACTTCATCCAATTGAAGAGTCATGAAACTCATGATTCCCTCGATCCAATTTGATAAAACGTAGTTACATCAGTTTTTAAATTTGGTTTAATTTTATTTTTCACATTCTGTTAAAAAAATATATATACATTTATAGAAGTATAAAAATCTAAATAGTCTAATATTAATTGAGAAAAACTTAAAAATGGTTCTAAATTACTTCTTTATATTTAATTATTAATTGTAAGTCAATATACAATAGATAGGTACGTCTGTAAGTATATACCCACAACGATTTTCAATACTCTTCACCGCATAATTACATTTCCATTTTTCCAAGGATTGACTTGGACAGAATGCTATATAGCATTAAGTCTACCTTTTTTTATCAAACATTTTTGTAAAGTGTTCAATAAATATATAAATAAAAATTATAAGCTGTACGTTAAGAAATCATACGAGACTTTGATCTTGTACAATCCTTTATCAATGTGTGATAATTACATGATTAAATTAATTTTCCACTAATCATTCATGATCATCAAAATATTGATAGTTATAATATCCTGAAGTAATATATTTAACTAACTGAAGTAATATATTGAAGTAACTGTCAAAAAGAACCCGGTACAATAATTATTTTCATAGTCAACGCCGCCGCTTTTTCTCTAGGTAGATTAATACATTTTGGGCAATGATACATCATCATCATCGTATCAGCCTTTAAATGTCCACTGTTAAACAGAAGCCCCCTTGGGGGGTTTTACCAGTAGTTGCTTCGCTTGGCAGGCATATCGGCAACCGCAGTTAAGATTTGGAGATGTTTTAACAGGAATGGTGCTGCCCATCTCTCGCCGTCCCTTACTCGCCTCTTACAACACTTACAGAAAAGGAAGAGGTGGCCTATTCTATGCCGGGAGCATACGGCATCAATGATACATATAAATAAATAATTAACAGAACTTAATTTACAAGCAAAGAGTATTTGCGGATATTTAATAACATGTATATCCTACTACGGAGATCGATCGAATTTTCTCAAGCATGGGGTTGATGGCGTAGTAACGGTACTACGGAAACTCACCAGTATCAAAACCAAGTGCGATTTTCTAAACTCTTCTCACTTGGGTGACAAATATTGCAATAGAGTAGGACGGTGTTGAGAGAGTTTTCACGATGTGACTTTGTACCATGGTAGAGGCTGGAAATGTGCACTTGTGTTCGTCAATTAAACACACACACATTGAAAAATCTACAAATTTGTGTGCCATTTCCCGACTTAATAACAACCTAAAATCAACTTTAAAGCTAGCTAATGAAATTTGAAATTTGTACAGCAGTAGTAAATTTTTGTCATAGTGTGAGTGGAAAATGTAGAAAAGAGACAATTTCATGGAAACATAGGTGTGTAAAAAAGAGACACACTGTGAGGAAGAGCATATCAACAGCAGGATTCAAATGTGTTTGTGTAAAGCCGTGAACACAATGTTCGACGAATTTGACCTAACTGTAGACTGTGTTATCGGGCGTGTCTGGACAATTAATTGGAATCTGCGACGCTTTGGGAGCCAATATTCAGTAACTGTATACGTATCTAATAATTAATTGACGTACAGTATAAAAGCTTTCAGCGGGAGACTCACGGAGGATTTCTATTATACATTGTTCAATATATGAAGTAACCACTTCCTTTGCTTCGTAATTCTTGGTTATAGTTAGTAGGTATTAAAATTTGGACTAATTGCGGTGAAGAAGAATAATTTATAGTAGACATATATTTTTTTAATACACGATAATGTCATGATAACCTCGCCTTCGCAATCGGTATATACTGGCGGGGAACCAATGAGGGTTTTTTTAATGTGTAATAATTAAATCGTAACCCTGCCTGTGCTAACGGTATACCCCGGCAGGACACCAAATAAGAATGATAGGTGAGAATGAAAGGGCAGATCAGTTAGCCCATCGTGATAAATATATCTGGAATTCAGTACGATGGTTTCCAGGGGTGACCACGTGAAGGTCAACCTGACACCTGATAGGGTGTGTGATAGGTAGTGTTGCTAGGAATGAGAATGATAGTCTGCATTATTGACAATTCCTTCTACCCCTAATGCACCAGTGAAGGATGTTAAGTGAGGATGAAACAGGTCAGGTATATCGTTTATGTCACCTATGTGATTATCTTTTTATTTAGTATTTCCTGCACGATTATATACCTACCTATAAGTATGTATTGGAAATGCACCAGAATTTTTAATCTCAAGCTTCAATTAGTAAGTACTAACTACTAACTCAGTAACTCTTGTAAATAATGGTGTTATGAATTCCGATTTTTTTGACATGGTTTGTATTACTTTAGATTATAATTATTATGGAAGTTATTTAGAATTTGAATAAAATAGATTATGCACTGTTCGATGGAAGATTGTGTCTACAAATCCTTACGTCTGAATAAAAATAACTATAATAGAGATAAAGCCACAATTAGATAGGTCGACAAACAATAATGTGAGTTTTTTTTTCACAAAAGAAAAACGACTTTAGTTGTGGCCAGTTATTTTTAAATTAAAAACTATTGAAAAGTAAACTATTGAACCTATTTTGATAAAATTTCTATGATATTAAACTGTAAGTGTTATTCTTTTAGATAAAAAAGAATTTTGCAAATGGGTTTGTAACTTAAAGAGTTATGAGGTAACAAACATAAAAAATGCAAACGAATTGAGAAGCTTCTTTTTTTAATTCGATTGAAAATACATAAGTTGTTACCTAACATAATATTAGTTTATATTGCTGTCAATGGCGACCTTCATCTATAAGAAGTGATACCAATATAATATAGATGGGTAAGGTCAGTACTTTACCTATCTATACCTGTATTGTTTTTTTTAATGGATTATAATAGAATGGTAACTCTATCTGTATTATCGGTATGTACTGGCCTGGCACCAGTAAGAAATTAGGTGAGGATGAAGTTAGACTGATAGCCCATTGTGACGAATTCAGCAATAAATTAATCATAATTGTTTGCAAGGGGTACAGCGAGGAAATCGACCTAATAGGTTATATTGCTAGCAATGGAGTTATTAATCCTCATTACTAAGAATCTCTTCTCCTCCCACCTATATTGTTTTTTATAATGGATGATATTGGAATGGCATCCCTGCCTGTGCTAGTGTGCGGGGTGATAAGTGAGAATGAAAAGCCAAGTCGGTTAGACTATTTGGTAGTCCGCATTACTAGCAATCCCTTTCCTCCCTTCACCCATATTGGTTAATATCACTTTTTACAATTTTACACAGATCTTGTAAACATAAATCCATCTTGCTTTTTTTTTATACAACTTAGAATGGCAAGCAACGGAATGGACGTAGCCTAAAGGTTAGGCTTTTTCTGGTGTTAGAGATAGGGTTGTCAATTTCAAATATCTATCCAAATCCAATTGATTATATCAATACCATTAAAATATTATCCTCCTTACTAATACTTCATACATCCTTACTAATAGTATCAATGTGAAAGTGGATTTGTTTGTTTGTTACCTCTTAATTTTTTAACAAATCTCTATGAAACTTGTCATACAAGTACTTTATGGGATAGAAAAGGACATAGGCTACTTTTTATCCTGATCAATGAATATGTACCGGTCAAGCGGATGAAGCCGCGGATAAAAACTAGTTAATACTATAAATATGAAAGTAATTTCGGTAATTTTATATTATCAAATTTCTGTAACTTCCTTCAATTTTTTTCTTTATATAACAGAATAACAGACAAGTTGACGGCCCATTTAATGGAAAGTAGTAACCACCGTCTGTAGACTAGAATCATAGTAACAAAGTATTCTGTGTTACCCATAAGATCCTCCTTGCGTTGTCATTCCTAATGATTAAGGTTTTATGCCTGTTTACCCTGTAATTTATTTGCTATATCCCACCATTCAAACCGAAACACTGCCATGCAAACAACTGCTTCTCGACAGAAACACGAATGGGATAGAGGTACCCAAGCAGACGACTTTGATACAAAGTTTCCCTTTGGTACATCTTAGTGCCTATAAAGCATAAACATACGTAATGCAATTCGATATACGCGTAATTTTTGGAATAGAAAAGGGCGTAACCTACTTTTTAACCCGGTCAAATCATTATGTCCAGGTCAAAGAAGTCGCAGGTAAAGCTAATATTGGATAACTATAAGTTGAATATTAATTAAGTATACAGAGGATAAATAGAGTTGAAACAGAATCAATATTTACAGTCAAGTTAAATTAAACACCTATTTGAAAGTAATAAAGTGCGTTCAGCGTCGCGTTTGTCTCAATTTATTTTTATCGGAGTGCACTTGACATGCGCGCTGGCTGACCTCCGAATCGATGGAAACGTAGTTTGTTGTTGTTCTCTCCCATTCGCTCTCATAGACCTTTCTCTATATCTATCTCAACTTTCAAGGTGACGGCAACGTCATCGTCCACCAATCATAGATGTTTCGCGTTAAATAGTTCGCATACATTCTGATAGATGGCGTTGCAATGCCGAAAAATTAAACGACACCAATACAATGATAGACATGTAAAAGTGTACCAAATTAAACCATTCGACAGCCCTAATCAAGGGGTTATCAGAAAACTACTGATATAAATTGTCTTGAGTAAAAACAC